TTGAAAAACTTGTTCGTTTAAATTTAAAAAAATAGAAATAGAAATAATGTATGTAACACGTATAGTGGAAATTTTTTATTTCACTTGCTGCAATTCGATAAAAAAAATTTCTAAAATTAGGTTTGGTAATAAATAATAATAATAATAATAATAATAATAATAATAATAATAGTAATAATATAATTGTTTCAACTGATAATGGTTATCTTTGTAAGATTCTCTTAATGTTAAAATCATTACAATTATAAAATTGGCACTTAATATCTCGGTTGTATAATGGGAAGAACTCCATTAGGAACCTTTTTGGGTGGTGTCATCATCATCATCATCACCATCACCACCATCATCATCATCATCATCATAACCATCATTATTATCATCATTAATATCATTGCACGTTCATTGATGGTGCACAATTGGCGGGTGGTGTTGTTTGTTGTTGTCGTTTTCCCTCTCTATGGTTTGTTGTGTGTGGGTGTGTGTGTGTGATAAGAAAAGGCTCGAGATTTCGTTTAGTCACGTGTTTAAGAAAAAAAGGAACGAATTCGGGATTGATAATAATAATAATAATAATAATAATAATAATAATAATAATAATTTTTGAAAATGAAAACATAAACGTTTTTGTTTTTGTGAATATTTGTTGAAAAATATTCACAACAACATGATGAAAGTTGGAAAACAATTTTTTTTTTTTTTTCATTCTAATGGTTTTTAGGTAATTTTCTCTCTCTCTGTCTCTCTCACTCTCGTAATTCATTTTACGTATGATAAATTCATGTCGAAAATGACATTGACCTCAAAAACTATATATACATGTATTCAATTCCTTTTTCGTTAATTTTCTAACGCGCGCGTGCGTGTGCGTGTGATTCGCACGCACACGCACGTCTCTCTCCCCGTTTTCTCCGTAAGGAATTTTGTCTTCGATTAAAATTTTTCCGGGATTTTTATCGATGATCCATCGCGAGAAAAGGGGGGAAAAAAATTACGGGATTCCCTCCCGTAAAGTCGTGTCAAGGGCATTCGTTGTACGGTGTTTGTACCTACGTTGTTGGTAGGTACGAAGTATTGTCTGACCACCACCGAGATCGATTTGGGAACGTTCACAGTCGGTTTCGATTCTTTCTTTCTTTTTTTTTATGTAGGTTAAATTTTTTTTTATTTACGGATTCGTTCGATCGTGCGATTCGTGAAATATTTGAAAATATAAAAATTTTAAAAATTCGTTAAAAAAAAAAACAAATTGTTTACCTATTAAAGAGAGAGAGAAGGAAAAAAAACTAAAATAAACGAAGGGTTAATGTTATCAGAGAAAAGTTATCAGTTGCAAAAAAAAACCGATTTGAAGTTGTTATTATTATTATCATTATTATCATCATTATTATTATTATTATTATTTATTATTATTATTATTAATATTCTCGCGTTCTATTTAAATTTTTTTATGTAAAGTTCACGGATAAGTTAAGAGAGAGAGAGAGATAATCTTTAATTTTTATTTTAAAATGCGATTCGTCCGTCGTGTTATTATTATTATTATTATTCACTCGATTAAATTTAAATTTTTTTTTTTTTTCTCCGTCTTCTGCTATAATAATCGGATGTTTGGCCTACATCCAGTTTTAAATAAAAGAAAAAATGTTGTGAACGCGCTGTTGTTATTATTACTAATTTTTTTTGTCGACCGGGGGAAATCAAAAAATCAATCCTACGTAAAAAAAAAAAAATTATTTACGAAAATTGATTTGATTGTTGCATTTCTAAAAAAAATCGTCGGAAAAGTGCAAAAAAAAAAAAAAAAAAAAAATTTTAATGACGTTGCGTAATAATAATAATAATTTCATCGTGAGAAAATTTTTTTTGGTTCATTTTCGAAATTTCCATTCCGGTTCTCATTTTATGATATCGATTTTTTTTTTTTTTGCGTTGTAATCGTCATTATTATTATTATTATTATTATTTTTATTATTATTATTATTAT